TCTTGGGAACTAGAGATGAAATTAAAGAAACCCTAAAAGAAAAGAAGGATCTTTGTGATAAAAAAAAAAAACCCTGTAAAAAGGGAGAAAAGGCAACAAAGCACACAGCAAAGAGAAATCTGTGAAAGTACAGAACACAAGAGAAAGTTTTGTTTGAAGGTTGTTGTAATGAAATAAAAATAGGAAAAAAAAAAAACTTAATAATTCATCACTCGATAAATCTTCCACTGTAGATTTTCACTGTAAGTCTCAATATGTCTTTGAATTCCAAATAACAGACCGATACAGAGAAATGTTAACAAAAAAACTTAACTTTAGTTTTTGAAGGGAACAAAAGAAAATAAAAATGAAAAAGGGAATCGAGTCGACAGATGGGGCAGGTAGATGAATTTGATCTTTTTGTCCCTGATTTAAAGGAGTGTGTGAGGGGTTGAAGCAGCAACTGGTCAATTTGTAAATTCACGAGTCCCAATTAAAAGAGATTGGATAGTTTTTCAAAGTTCTTCTACACCGATTATTTTGTCCAAGTGGTTGAGTCGTTAGCAATGCATCACAATTAGAACAAAATTTGTGAATGGTCTAGTGTGGATCATTTGTAGTCCAACCACACCGCACCGCACTTTTTCATCGCCACAATTATGGAAGACCCAAAAATTAGAGGATTCGAAGATGTATGCAAAAGACTAAGTAACTGAATCCGAAAGAAAAGAAGAGATTGTGAAATCTCACAAATATCCAAAGCAACAATGACCTAGGAGAGAGTTGACTAAATGGTTGAGTAAGCGATGATAAGGTTTCAAAATAAAAGCAAAGCAAAGAGATTTGAAGGGATTATTTTCTAAGAGAGAAGCTAGAATTTCTGGATCACGACCGAGTTAGCGACACCAGCCTGCTCGATGGTTTGGTCCAAGTCTGTCAATTGTTTAGGAGGGAACCCCATGGTTAGTAACTGGTACTCTTTGGAGCCACCGGGTCTTGAAGCGTCGATGAACCCACGAATGTCTCTGATGGTGTGGTGGTTGTTGAACCTGGATACAAGGCGTGTGCCGTCTGCCAATCTTAGCTGGATTGAGGTAGTCGGTGCTGCTGGATCTACAACTAATCCTCTTGATGGTGCGGGTGCTGTGTTCATCGGGACGGGTGAAGCTTGTGGTTCTACAGCTGCAGAGCTTGATCCGGATCCGCTGGCTCCTAGAGTTCTTCCTACACCTTGAAATGGATTTTTGGGCTTCGGCGGCTCCTGTTTCAAGAGATACAAAGAGAGAATCATTGACAATATGGTCACAAAAATCCTACCCGAGTGGCTTATCCAGTGAACACGGTAGCTAGAATGTTGTTGATAGAGACTTACTGTGAAATTTTCTTCACGTCTGACGAGATCAACATGAACACGGATCTTCCTATCTACTGGTTCAAGTTCACGGGGGCACTCTGACCTTGCAATGCTCTGCAACGAATGACAAACTTATGTTGTAAGGATTCCTATGGTATCCAAGTCAAACCGAGACAGGTGCGAGATACCAATAGTATTGGCTGCTCAACACCTAATAATTGAAATACATCAGTGAAACAGTAACGATTCCAGGTCCAGGAAGCAGTATATTTCAGTTTAGCAGAATAAACAGCTCGAATTTGAGTTCCATGGTGCTGTAATTAATATGCATTTCACTTTAAATGGGAACAGGTTTGGATATATTACCTCCATAAAGGGTGTGTTTTGAGGGTCATCAAACGTCCTTAACGGACCATCATCAATGGTGAAACCATTCCTCCAGAAAGTAATGGTGTGCATAACCACTTGAGGCTGGTCTTCCTGTTGCTGAGGAGAAGAGGACACAGTCTCTCCGGACAAGAGTCGTGCAGCTCCAGTGAAGCTTGCAGAAGCTGATCTTGATGATTCAACAGGTCTTTCTACAGCTGATAGCCTAGCTTGGTCGAAAAGTGCATCAACGTCTTTCGCTTTCTTAGGATCTTGTACCATCATCCCACTAAAACACCACAAACAAAATCCAAAAAAACTCTGTTAGCTACAGAAATTCCACTTCCTCTAGATAAAAGAGAATCTCAAGAAAAACTTATATAGACTTTAAGGACTTGAAAGAAACAATGAATATAATCTTCAACATGTTCTTCTTCTATGTCTACTGATAATGCATTCAACTATACACAAGATATGATCACTGATCCATCAATACCACAATTTTTCAGTACATTGCCCAATTTATGAAAATCAATGCCCAAATTCCCCTACTAGCTCGACACTATTCTAATTCCCTTAGGGCAAAATTCATCAGATACAAACATGATCAGATCTGCAGAAGAAATAATGATCGGATTCGAGTGACACAGTTTTTACCTCTTCTCTCCGCCAGTATAGTACTCTTGTGCCTCATCAGAATTACTATCCGCACCACCAGCGGGTGAACGGTTCAGATCGGCGAACGTACGGATGTTCCCAGCGTGTTGACGGCTCCTAGTAGTCCGACTCCCGGAAGGATCCTCAGATTCCTGCCTCACGGAAGCGCCTTTCGATCGGAGACTGTAAGGAGCGGCGCGAGAAGGC